GGACACTAGAGATACTCTAAATGAAATCAATCACTCTAAATAAAATCAACCGTCTCCGTCTCTCTCCTCTGGCAATCCATCTTTTATTTATTGGGACCACTGACTCCAGGCAGAAAACATATGGTAGCACTGGAAGATACCTCAAGATGAAGGCAACGTGTTTTGTAGGAACAGTCATTAGTATTGTGCTGTAAAATAGGCTTGAACTGGGGAATAGTTTAAGAGATTTCAGTAATACAACATGGGTGGTATTGAAGAACATTTACCCAACCAGCACCCTCTACCACATGTCCTGTGTCTGTCTTTTAGAATAAAGAATTCATTAAAAAACTTCAATTAATGCTTCAACTAAATTACAATTTGGATTAATTCAAGTAGTGCTACCTGTCCCTTTTTTTTTTTTTATATGTTGTAGCTATTCTTGTATTTTGTACACATTGCGTAGCCCACTGTGATATATTTTATTATATGTCTGCCAGTGTGCCTTCTCTGTCAGTGTTAAGCCAAAGCAGTGCCAGTTTGTCAGTATCTTAGTTCTATTGTCTGTCTCCATTCATGTGCTTAATACGCTTTTACTACCAGGAGATGACTGGGCGCCCCAGGGTCAAGGTAGGAAGGTTGATGTTGGGAAACTGCTGAAATGCACTTCAACTCAATGCATGCCATGTTTACAGTGATCATATTTTAAAGAACCACTCTGATTTTTAAAAAATCACTTCAGGGTGTGGCAGAAAATAGTCAAGTATGCTGAAGGAAATCAGTGCACGCATTATTGATGCTCCCGTACATGATACCCCATCCTCCAGATTAATGTGATTTTATGATGATCAATGTAATTGATAATGTAATTGATCATCCTGATTGTTACCGTAAACCCTGTCCTGGAGGGATGAGTTTTCTGATGTTGCTGTTTTTCAATTGATGTCACTAAGTAATATCGTATGGTAAATCAGCAAGGCCATTCAAACTTGATTACCAGTTTAACTGATTTCATAATTTTTTAAAAGTGATGTGTGCGAGCAAATAAAATAAAAAATAAAAAAGTCTAGCAACCTTGTCAATAGATTCTAGCTTCTTGATGTAATGGCTAAGGTTTTTAATGGCAGTCACAGGGATCCGGGTTTGAGTCCCAGTATGGGATACCCCCATTCACCATTGGTGTCAAAAGTGGGATAACATCACTGAAAGCATGTCCTGGCCGAGTCTGAGGCACACTTAGCTATTCATAATCTGATAGGAAGTTGTGTATCTCTTTACTGGAAGCTTGAGGACATTATTTTTGCTATAATCTTGCAATTTTTCAGTACAACATATTTTATTTTCAAGAAATGTGAAGTGGGACATCCGTTAAACTGATAACTACATTTGTATGGCCTAAGATTAAGTGACAGGAAAATATTCATTTCCAGGGCCAGGGTTCATTTGAAATAAAGGATATGATTTGAATGACTAATGATACAACTATTTACTCCTTATTCTTCCAATATTATTCACTGGGGTTATGTATTCAATTGGTTTCCATGTGAAGCAATACATTTAATTAGAATTACATCCATTTTTCTATTTTCACTTTTGCTGCGGAAATGAAATGTTGACCTCTTGTGGAGGATTGGCTAAAATGCACCTTCAAAATCAGCCAACCAAAGTATTACAGCCCCATGTATAATATTGATGTGTAAGAGTGTACGCATTTTAAACTGGTGTGAAAATATACTGACCTACACAAAAAATGTATAATGGCGATGTCATCCAGGAGCATTACTTGATGGAACAGATGATAGATGGTAAATACAACACAAGAGATTGAATGAATGGACACTAAAGATACTCTTAAAGAAATCAATAAAGTCTTATGAAATTTGATGTATGGAAATATTTTACAACCATCTCTGCCTCTCTGGCAAATCCATCTTTTATCTATTGGGACCAACACTGACTCGAAGCAGATTTCTTATTTTTTTTTAAAAATACAAATATGGTAGCAATGTGCTGGGCAGTGATAGTCATTACTATTGTGCTGTAAAATAAAAATAAAATGTAGGCTTGAACAGGGAAATTGTTTTGGAGATTTTAGTACTACAACATGGGTGCATTGAAGACCTTTTACCCAAAGAGCACCCTCTACCACATGTCCTGTGTCTGTCTTTTAGCGATTTTGAGAAATGCCTGCTTCTACAATTAAATTACAATTAGGATTAATCCAAGTAGTGCTACCTGTCCCTATTTTTACCTTGTATGTTATATGTTGTAGCTATTCTTGTATTTTGTACGCTCTGTGTAGACCACTGAGATATACAGTGAGCTCCATAATTCATTGGACAGTGACAATTTTTTTGTTATTTTGGTTCTGTACTCTAGCACTTTGAGTTTGAAAGGATACAATGACAATGAGGGTGAAGTGCAGACTGTCAGCTTTAATTTGAGGGTATATTCATACATATCGGATGAACCGTTTAGAAATTATAGAAGCTTTTGTACATGGTCCCCCCCTTTTTCGGGCATCAAAAAACATTGGACAGTTTAACATAATGTAGAATAAAGTAATCATTGTTAATATTTGGTCGCATATCCTTTGCATGCAATGACTGCTTGAAGTCTGCGATGCATTGACATCACCAGACGCTGGGTATCTTCCCTGGTGATGCTCTGCCAGGCCTGTATTGCAGCCATCTTCAGTTCCTGCTTATTTTGGGGACTTATTGCCTTCAGTCTCCTCTTCAGCATGTAAAATGCATGTTCAATTGGATTCAGATCCGGTGATTGACTCGGCCAGTCAAGGATTTTCCACTTTTTGGCCATCAAAAACCCCTTTGTTGCTCTAGCAGTATGTTTAGGGTCATTGTCTTGTTGCATGATGAAGTGCCGTCCAATGAGTTTGGAGGCATTTGGTTTTATCTGAGCAGATAAAATATTTCTATAGACTTCAGAATTCATTGTTCTACTTCTGTCTGCAGTCACATCATCGATGAAGACAAGTGAGCCTGTTCCACTGGCAGCCATACAGGCCCAAGCCATAACACCCCCTCCACCATGTTTCACGGATGAGGTGGTATGCTTTGGATCATGGGCATTTCTTTTTTTTCTCCACACTTTCCTCTTTCCATCACTCTGGTACATGTTAATCTTTGTCTCATCTGTCCACAATACTTTTTTCCAGAACTCTTGGGGCTCTTTTAGGTGCTTTTTAGCAAACTGTAATCTCGCCTTTCTGTTCTTCAGGCTTATCAGTGGTTTGCATCTTGTAGTGTACCCTCTGTAGTCCTGCTGGTGTAGTCTTCTACGTATGGTAGACTTTGACACATCTACACCTGCATCCAGGAGAGTGTTTTTGATCTGTTGGGCTGTTGTCAGGGGGGTTTTCTTCACCATAGAGAGTATTCTCCGGTCATCCACTACAGTGGTCTTCCTCGGTCTACCGGGTCTTTTGACATAATTGAGTTCACCGGTTGTTTTTTTCTTGTTAATGATGAACCAAACTGTTGACTTGGGCATGGCCAGGGTTTTTGCAATGTTCCTGATTGATTGATTTTCATTTCTGAGCCTTATGACGGCCAGCTTCATTTGCATCGACACTGCTGTCTTCCTCATGTTGTCACAACACAACAACAACCTCCAAAGGCAATAGCAAAGTCTAGAATCAATGCTATTCATCAACAGCTCTCCTGCATTCACTAACGACACAAATGAATACACCTGCCTAACGACACACATCTGTGAAGCCAATTTAACAAATACTTGTAGTACCTTAAAATGGGGGGACCATGTATAAAAGGTGCTATCATTTCTAAACAGTTCATCCGATATATATGAAAATACCCTCAAATTAAAGCTGACAGTCTGCACTTCACCCTCATTGTCATTGTATCCTTTCAAACTCAAAGTGCTAGAGTACAGAACCAAAATAACAAAAAAAGTGTCACTGTCCAATGAATTATGGAGCTCACTGTATGTTAGCATACTGTATGTTAACACTGCCTTTTCTGTCAGTGTTAACCCACTGGGCACACACTGGTTGAATCAACGTTGTTTCAATTAAATGGAATAGACGTGTCATAAAGGAATAGACGTTGAGTTGACATCTGTGCCTAGTGGGAAGAACAAGCAGTGCCAGTTTGTCAGTATTTTAGTTCCATTGTCTGTCTCCATTCATGTGCTTCATTCGCTTTTACTACCAGGAGATGACTGGGCGCCCCATGGTCAAGGTAGGAAGGTTGACATTGGGAAACTGCTGAAATGCACTTCAACTCAATGCATGCCATGTTTACTGTGATCACATTTTTAAAATAATAACTCTGATTAAAAAATCACTTCAAGATGGTGGAAAACCAAATTGGTGCAGGCATAATTAATGCTCCATACATCCGCCAGTGAAGATTTATGTTATTTGATTATTATCCTGATTGTTACTGAAAACCCTGTCCTGGATGGCTGAACTTTCTGATGTTGTTGTTTTTCAAATGATTAAACAAATTAACGTTAAAGACATCCGACTGTAAATTAGTAAGTGACGATACAACGTTCCTTTCCAGGACCAGGTTTCATCTAAAATATTAAAAATAAAGGATATGATTTGAATGAGCTACTAATGATCAAAATATTTACTGACGTTTTTTAAACAAAATATTTTTCCAATATTATTCACTGGGGTTATGTCATCTATTTGTTTCCATGTGAAGCAATACATTTAATTACAATTACTTAAATCTTTTCATTTTCATTTTTTATTTTTGCTGCGGAAATGAAATCTTGACCTCTTGTGGAGGATTGGCAAAAATGCACCTTCAAAATCAGCCAACCAAAGTATTACAGCCCCATGTATAATATTGACGTGTAAGAGTGTACGCATTTTAAACTGGTGTGAAAATATACTGACCTACACAAAACATTCATGATGTAATATTTCTCTAATTGAGGAATGTTTCTTATTTGTTGGTTGCTGTTTGGTCTTGTTTCTTCACAACAACTTTGAGCTGAGAGTATTTGTTTTCGGACTTCAACAGTGGCTATTAAAAGAAGATCCAGAGTCCCTGGAGTTATGATAACGCAGTTTGTGGAGGAAATACCGGAGGGCATGACCACCCCCGACTTCACCCGCAAGCCCATCGCTTTGACGATCCAAGAGGGTAGGGTCCCTTTTATTGAATAAACTGACGTGCACGAGCTTGATTTCTGGGCAGGGGGGCACACTAACATTAGGTGACTTTCATTTATAGTGCATTATACATATCTATGCTTTCAGGTAAATTAGCCTTTTTCAAAAGTAAGGTAAGCGGAGTGCCTACACCAAACATCACTTGGGCCAGGAACAAAGGCCCGCTGGAGGATCCAGTGAAGTATATCAGTAGATATGATGAGATTATGGATGAATACTTTCTTGAGGTAAGTAGGAGCAGCAAGCTAATGGCACACACAACCAATTTCAACCCTTTAAATTGTCATTATCTAATAATTGTTTCACTGGGAAAAACAAGTGATAGTGCAAGTATGCCAATGCAGGAGAAAGCCATGCTATTACATTTTTCTCTAAAATCACTACGCCTATGTCTGGTGTGGTATCGATCGAGTGTAGGGTTAAATCTCACTGCAATGTTGTCATTTCATCAGATGCCCAATGTAACAGCGGAACAAGCTGACACCTACAAATGTTTTGCTGCCAATGAATATGGAAGAGCAGTTTGCACTGCCACCTTGAATGTTATTGAGGGTGAGAAATTAATTGATTTAGGTCATTAGGATGATTAATTGAAATGGCAGTGTTCACTTGCTAAAACAAATTTGCTATTACCAGTACTCATGAGAAAAATATATTGTTTTCTATTTTCAGTTGGATTCAAGAAGAAAGCGACAACAGGTGTGAAGATGATTGTATATCGTAATATTACCCAATTCCTTAGTTCATGAAGATTCAAGAACAAATATTTATCCAGCTAGTTATTTTAATTCTTAATCTCTTCTAGGACCAAAAAGAGCGGCACCAGAGGATTTCAGAAAAATGCTTAAGAGGAAGTAAATGACTGTTCAAATGCAAATATCCGAGACAATTATTTAATGTCCCGTTTTGGGAACATACATGTCCATTTTTGGAAACCATTAATTGATTTCCAGAACATTTTTGTTGACTATACTTCAGACAGATATATCAAGAATAGTGTTGTGACAAATAGATAAGGTTGGCCAACCACTAGTTTCCCCAGAGTTTTAACTCTTCCCATTCCCATTAAAGTGTTGTACGAACTAAACCACAACTAAAGAAGAAGGAGGGAGAGATTGATCCAAAGTTCTGGGAGGTGTTGCTGAGCTCACCTAAGAAGGACTACGAGAAGGTCTGTATGGAGTATGGAATCACTGACTTCCGCTGGATGCTGAAGCAGCTGAACCTAAAGAAGAAAGAGAGAGAGGAGGAGCAGGCAAAGGTATCAGCGATGATGCAATAAGGCAATCAGTGTACAGATGACTATACCTTGTGGGTAATAATTGACCCTCTCCAGCTTTAGCCTCTCCTGATCTCCTCTCCTTCAATTTGATAGGTTGTTGAAAAACTTGAAAATCTGAAACACATTGAGGTGAAAACAGATGGCTCAGCACAGTTTGAACTGGACATGGAATTGAAGAATCCCAACAGTCAGATTTTCCTATTCAAGGTGGGTCCTCCCCCCCACCATGGAAGACAGTGATAAGCTAATTGATGAACAAACATGTTATGAAGTGCATGATGTGTTTGACTTTTCTGCCCAAAAGGACGGGGTCATGCTTCCCTATTCTGACGACGGCACCGGGAAGCACAACCTAAACAAAATAGGCAGGAAGTACATCTTTAGCATCAACGACCTGATGCCAGACGACGCTGGGTTGTACCAGGTGGACGTTGAGGATGCCAATTGTTTCTCAACTGACTTTAAGAGTAAGAATGCGTCTTCTTTTACCTTTCTGTATTACCTATTTACCAACTGTAATAAAGTATATATATATTCTAATTTGATAATTCTTGAGGAATGTTTGAGAGAAATGTTTCTCACCAATATCGTACTGTCTTTCCCTCTATAGTTATACCAGTGGAGTTTGTTGTCAAGATTCAGGAGGTGAAGGCTAAGGAGAGAGAGGATGCCGTGTTTGAGTGTGTCTTGTCCCAACCCTTCCCAAAGATTGTGTGGATTGGAAAGAACATCCCTCTCGAACAAGGGGAAAAGTTTGACATCATTGTGTCAGAAGACCACCTCATTCACAGCTTAAAGGTGAAAGATTGTGCCCAAGTCGACAAGGGAGTCTACACTGCCATGGCTGGCATTGCCTCCTGCAACGCTTGGCTTATTGTGGAAGGTGGGACAACTGTGATACAATATTTTATAAGCAAAAACTAACACAAACATGAAGCCTTATACTTGAACTTAAATCCCTCTTTCCATGTCCGTGTTAACTCAGCCGATAATGACCCAAACATGCGTGGGAAAAAGACGGCCCGCAAAACCACCACGGCTGGTGGTGGAGGAGAGGAACTGGCTAAGATCGCCGCAGAGCAATCGGCTAAGCTGCAGAAGGAGAAGGATGCTGCGGATGCAGCCAGACGGGCCCAAGCAGAGAAGGATGCTGCGGATGCAGCCAGACGGGCCCAAGCAGAGAAGGATGCTGCAGATGCAGCCAGACGGGCCCAAGCAGAGAAGGACGCTGCGGATGCAGCCAGACGGGCCCAAGCAGAGAAGGACGCTGCGAATGCAGCAGGAGCCGGAGCCGGAGCCGGTGCCGGAGAGGGGGATGGAGATGGACATGGGGGTAAAGGTAAAGGGTTCTACAACTTATTCTATCCCAGTGCATTAGGCTACCTAATGTTGGCATGATTACTTTTATTGTTTATCATCATGATTTGCCTACATTTATGGACATTGTGCTGGCGGTTAGTGTTTTGTTGCTCTTGTTGTGTTGCTGCTATTGTAAATGTTGTAAGCAGACTGACTTGATGACGCTTGTCAACTTTTGAGTTGCTGCCAAAATATATAAGGAGGTAAGATTAATGATATGTGCATTGGTTATTATAATCAACTTGGAAAAGGAGTCGAAATACCAGACTGACCGATTCTGCCTGAGGGAATCGCATCAAAAAGTAGGGAGCTTGTTGGATTTTAAACCCTGACTTTAATTTACAGTCATTTTTATATGGTAGCTTAATTAGTACTTGACAAATGAGTTTACCTTGAATTAAATATTTTTGTCAATTCTTTGTTGTGGTACCGTTTATTGAAGATTGACTTTGGCCTTTTGATTCATAAGCAAAGCCTTTTTTTGGTGTGTAGACTTCATCAGCAGGCTTCGTTAACAGACCAGCACTTGCAGTACTTCCTAGATAGCACTAGAGAGAGACATATACCAGTTAGCTGATAAGTACTGGTGGGTTGACACACTCTCATCATATCCAGGCGCCACGTTCAGTTGCCAAACGTTGTTGAAACTTGCAGATAGAAATGCCATAAATAGAGCCTATGTGAGTACTTATTTCAATTTTTTATCCTGTAAAACTCCCCAGTTCTTAACAATTACAAGCATACCCATAACATGATGCAGCCACCACTATGCTTGAAAATATGGAGTGTGGTACTCAACAATGTGTTGTATTGGATTTGCCCCAAACATAACACTTTGTATCCAGGACAAAAAGTGAATTGCTTTGCCACATTTTTTGCAGTATTAATTTAGTGCCTTGTTGCAAACAGGATGCATGTTTAGGAATATTTGTATTCTCTACAGACTTCCTTCTTTTCACTCTGTCAATTAGGTTAGTATTGTGGAGTAGCTATAATGTTGTTGATCCATGCTCAGTTTTCCCCTATCACAGCCACTAAACTCTGTAAATGTTATAAAGTAACTATTGGCTTAATGGTGAAATCCTTGAGGGACCTTACACATAATTGTATGTGCGGGGTACAAAGATGAGGTAGTCATTCAAAACTCATGTTAAACACTATTATTGCACACAGTGAGTGCATGCAACTTATTATGCACAGTTTTACTCCTGAACTTATTTAGGAAAGGGGGGATACCTAGTTAGTTGTACAACTGAAAGCATCTTCCACATATAACCCAACCCCTCTGAATCAGAGAGGTGTGGAGGGCTGCCTTAATTGACATCCACGGAACAGTGGATTAACTGCCTTGCTCAGGGGCAGAACGACCGATTTTTACCTTGTCAGCTCTGGGATTTGATCCAGAAACCTTTTGATTACTGGCCCAACGCTCCTACCCGCTAGGCTACCTGCCGCCCAGGCTTGCCATAACAAAGGGGTTTATTACTTACTGACTCAAGACGTTTCAGCTTTAATTTTTAATTAATTTGTAAAAATTAAATAAAACATAATTCCACTTTGACATTATGGAGTATAAACAATAATGTCAAAGTGGAATTATGTTTTAGGCCAGTGACAAAACATTTCAATATAATCCATTTTAAATTCAGGCTGTAACAACAAAATGTTGAAAAAGTCAAGGGGTGTGAATACTTTCTGAAGGCACTGTATTTATACTAGCCTCTTTCACACACTTTTATGATACTAACAAAACACTCTCAAAAAGTAAACTTGGACTATAGTTTATTCCAAGTTCTATATTATTCAGTGAATTAATGTGAACTAAAATACATTTTACATTTACATTTTAGTCATTTAGCAGACGCTCTTATCCAGAGCGACTTACAGGAGCAATTAGGGTTAAGTGCCTTGCTCAAGGGCACATTTACGTCATTTAGCAGACGCTCTAGTCCAGAGCGACTCACAAATTGATGCATTCACCCTATAGCCAGTGGGATAACCACTTTACAAATTATTATTATTATAATTTTTTTTTGGGGGGGGGGGGGGGGGGGGGGGGGGGGTAGAAGGATTACTTTATCCTATCCCAGGTATTCCTTAAAGAGGTGGGGTTTCAAATGTCTCCGGAAGGTGGTGAGCGACTCCGCTGTGTGTGGGGGGGGGGGGGGGGGGGGGGGGGGTAGAAGGATTACTTTATCCTATCCCAGGTATTCCTTAAAGAGGTGGGGTTTCAAATGTCTCCGGAAGGTGGTGAGCGACTCCGCTGTGTGTGTGGGGGGGGGGTAGAAGGATTGCTTTATCCTATCCCAGGTATTCCTTAAAGAGGTGGGGTTTCAAATGTCTCCGGAAGGTGGTGAGTGACTCCGCTGTCCTGGCGTCGTGAGGGAGCTTGATTGACAGTAAAGTATTTTAGAACGAGTAAGACGTTAAGTACGCAAAATTTCACAATAAGTGGACCATTTAATTGATTTTTTACTAAAAAAACTATATATTTGGGGTACATTTGAAACACTTAGGGAAAAGTGTACTGCTTTAGTTTTTAAGTATACAAAAAAAGTGTATTTTTACTAACTTCATTTTGGTACCTTGATTCTCTTGTATCAAACAATATATTAAGAGACTTCCTGCACTATAAATAATAGGTAAGCTGGTATGCTTTCAGTGTGTCCTTGCATCCATGTTTGTCTCAACCCACTTGGCAAAAACTGGTTGAATCCACATTGTTTCCACGTCATTTCAACCCTCAAAATATCTATGTGATGACATTGTATCAATGTGGAAAACTGATTGAATTTGCAAAAAGTAATCAACGTAAGGGCATTTTGTATTTTTTTCAATAAACGTTTAACCTAAATCCAATGACATGATGAAATGTTTTGTTGATTTCATATTTAATTCACATTAGTTGACAACTCAACCAAATGTAAATCAAAACTTGACGTTGAAGTGAAGTCTGTGCCCATTGGGAGTTGTTTCTTTGCATGTTTGTCATTTGCATTCTTCTTCTTCTGGCTATATCAGTTCATGTCATATTCATTTATAAGACACAGTAAACATAACTCAATAACTTGTTTGTCTATATTATTGATGTCAATGTGGTACAACCAAAACCGCCAGTTTGTGCACTGCCTAACCAATCTACATGTCTAGTTCACATCATTATCTTTTCAATGGTCATATTTAACCTTGCTTATTTTGTTAAATTTCTAGCTCTTCAGTACGGGCCATTGTACTGCCAATGTTTGTCTATGGAGTTTGCATGTCCGTGTGCTCGATTTTATAGACCTGTCAACAACGGGTGTGGCTGAAATAGCCGAATCCACTAATTTGAAGGGGTGTCCACATACGTCTGTGTGTATATATAGTGTATTTATGAAAATGTCAATTCACAGATGAGACAATGAGGAAAGATGTGATGCATTACCTGCCGAGATTATCCTGGACTACTGTATGATGTCATTACCTAATGTTACATCCAGGTGTTCAATTCCTTAGTGGACTGACTGATACTAACGGCAGCCTCTGGGAAACAGCAGAACTGTCCTGCAAACTGAGCCATGAGAACTGTGAGGGAGTCTGGCTTAAAGATGGGAAACCAGTGAGTGCAGTATTCTTCAATCACACAAATATAGCGTTCTTCAACCTTGTTCCAGGAGACCCACATGGTGTGCAGGCTTTTGCTCCAGACCAACACTAACACATTTGATTAAACTAAACAACAGCTTGATGATTTGTTTATTGTCATAGTTAAATAACTGGAAATAATACCCATTAGCAATATATGCTATGACAGTTGATTGAAAATCCAGATGCTATTTTCAGTCCCCTAATGGATTGAATCCATTCTCTATTTCTGTCATCAGCTAACTGACGAGGATGGGGTGAAAATCATCAAAGATGGAGCCTGTCACAAGCTGGTCATCGACAGCTGTAAAAAAGACGATGCAGGAGTCTATTCATTTGAGGTGGATGGTCATAAATCGGAGGCAAAGCTCACTGTTTCAGGTAAGAATGGACGGTTACAGTGGATTACATCCAAGATTAGGACATTATTCTGTAAGGCTATTGTTCCCTTGATTAGAGCACTTTAAGATACAAGGAATATCTAACATTATTATACATCATTATATAAATATTTTTATTCACCTGTTGTACACGTGATAATACTTTTTTGCCAACCCAATAACAATTCATTAAAAAGGTAGGCCTATGTAACATTGAAGGAACAAGTTTTGTTATTCTGTAATTTATAAGTCACAGTAAATACATATTTAACTTGTCAACATGTGAAAATTATATTTTCCCATCATTATCTTGTCATTAGTTATACTAAACCTTGTTTATCTTGTTTCATTGCATAAGACCATATATATTTGCATATACCAATTTACAGCTAAGATTATAAGGAAAGTAGTGATGCATTACCCATTTGGAGATTATACTAAACTATTTCTGTTGTCTTTACTTATTTATAGATTCAGGTGCTCAATTTGTTGGATGTGGACTCTCTGATGTTGAAGTTAATCTCGACGAAACAGCAGAGCTATCCTTGACACTAAGAAGTGCAAACATTGAGGGAGTCTGGTATAAAGACGGCAAACAAGTGAGTACAGTATTTTTTCTATACCACAGTACAGTGTGATGGGATAAACAACTATTGAAGTCATCAAAGTAAAAAGTACCCATTAACAAATAATCTATGACAATTGAAAGACCAACAAGATTACATTTGCTGACCCCTATTGTATTTAATCCATTCTCTCTTTCTGTGATCAGGTAACAACGACGGGCCGGATGAGGATCATCAAAGAAGGAGCCTGTCACAAGCTGGTTATTGATTGCTGTCGAAAAGATGATGGGGCAGTCTATCGCTTTGAGGTGGATGGTCAAAAATCAGAGGCAAAGCTCATTGTTCAAGGTCAGTTACAGTATGTGGATTACACCCAGTGGTATGACATGCTTCTGTAAAACTATCGTTTCCTTGATTAAAGCACTTTATGATACATGAAAATGATATGATGATACATGAAAATGATATGATTATACATGAAAATTATATGATGATACATAGTCAACTGTTATACATTTGTGTTCATTCCCCATTTTTCCCCATTGCCAACCCGGTGACAATTGTTGTTATGGACATCGATCACAATGCATCCCCTAACTTGGTATGTAACATTGAAGTAAAAAGATGTCCTGTAATTTATAACACAGTCAATGTTTATTTAATAACTTGTTAATCTATATTCATTGTGACAATGTGGTACAACATGGAAAATCCTTCTAATCAATCTATAGTTCCAGTTATAATTTAGTCATTGGTAATTTTGTAAGGGATTGCACACCCTGTCAGTCTATGGACAAGGAAAGACGGCACTCCATGCTTCGGTTTTGTTGACCTGGCCACTGTTTCGCATTTTAGCATTTATGTATTGGAATGTTTTGCATGTCATGTCCAAATCAGCTTCAGATTGATTGTTTAGCTCAATAAAGTTACTTTGATATGATTTGGACATGGAACACAAAACATGCTTAATTGGAGATACTGTATTGACTTGCGTTGGTTTTTGGACAAAAATGCAAAAACGTTTGGAGACAGTGACCAGGTAAACAAAACCAAAGCATGGTTGCTGTCTTCCCTGGTCCACAGACGGCTTACAGGGTAAAAACCAACATGTAATTTTGTAATTTTTGGGAGAACTATCCCTTTAACGTTGTGTATCTTGTTCAATTGAGTAAGAACATAAATGTTTGCAATTTACAGCATAGATTTGTGATGCATTACCTGGTTTGAGATTATACTAAACTATTACGATTTCTGTTGTCTTTACTTAATTTTAGATCCAGGTGCTCAGTTTGTTGGATGCGGACTCTCTGATATCGAAGTTAAATTTGACGAAACAGCAGAGCTGTCCTTGACACTAAGCAGTCCGAATGTTGATGGGGTCTGGTATAAAGACGGGAAAGAGGTGAGCGCAGTATTCTTCAATCCCCAAAATACAGTCTGTGTTCTTCAACCTTGGTCCAGGAGACCCACAGGGTGTGCAGGCTTTTGCTACAGCCCAATACCAACACATGTGATTCAACTAAACAATATCTTGATGATGGAGATAAATAATATAAAGTGAAAAGTAACCATTTGCAACGATTATATGACAGCTACATGACCAACTGGATAATATTTTCTCCTATTGGATTGAATGTGTTCTCTCTTTCTGTAATCAGGTACTTCCTGATGACAGGGTGAAAATCATCAAAGAAGGAGCCTGTCACAAGCTGGTCATTGATAACTGTAAAAAAGACGATGCAGGAGTCTATTGCTTTGAGGTGGATGGTCATAAATCAGAGGGATCACTCACTGTGCAGGGTAAGAATGGACAGTTAAATTATGTGGATTACATCCAGGATTAGGAAATGCTTCTCTAAGGCTGAAGTTCCCGTGATTAGAGCACTTTAAGATACATGAAAGTTGGCCTATTAAAGAAGGATACATCATACATGATTCACCTGTTGTACATCTCTGTTCAACCCACTTTATTTTCTCTCCTGCCAACTCTGCCAATTGCTGTTATGAACATGGATAACAATTCATCACCTCACTTGGTATGTAACATTAAGTTGTTGCTGTTCTCTGTCATTTATAAGACACAGTAATTATATATTTAATAACTTGCTGATCTATATTCATTATGAGAAATGACAATGTGGTATAACATGTGAAACCACCATTCTGTGAACTTCCTAAACAATCTATGGTCCCCATTATTGTCTTGTCAGTAGTCATATGTAACCTTGTGTATTTTTGTTTAATTGCTATGGCGTATGGCTTGTGCATACAGATGTAGGATCTTAATTTGGTCACTTTTGTTGCTGAGAATAGCGAATTTGTATTGCATTCGGAGGTTTAAAAAGGCTTCTAAAGTTTGTAATTTCCACTTTAAAATGTCACACTAGAAAAAAATGTATCAAACCCTACAAAACAATTCCATTAATTGTAATCCACAGACTTAGTGACATTTCCTGTTGCTGCAGGAATATTTTCCTGCTGTAGCAAACTGGCTCAAATTAAGATCCTACATCTGTATGACAATTTACGGCTAAGATTATAAGCAATGTTGTAATGCATTACCAACTTTGAGATTATACTAAACTATGATGGTTTCTGTTTTATTTTAAAACTTATTTTTAGATCCAGGTGCTCAATTCAGTATTGGTCTGTCTGATGTCGACGTTAAGCTTGACACAAAAGCAGAGCTGCTCTGCGAAGTGAACTGTCCGAACATTGAGGGGGTCTGGTATAAAGAAGGAAAACAGGTCAGTACAGTATTCTTCAATCAAACAAATACAGTGTTCTTCATCCTTGGTCCAGGCTTTTGCCCCACACCAGGATTGAAGAACTATGGATTAAAGAGGGACTGTAGTGGCTGATTTTGCATCAGTTTTCCTCCTCCTCATTAACAAATGCTTAAAAGACTAGATTTGTGTCTTGGAGGTGTAGTTTGATGTGGGTGTTTCTTGCATGTGTCGGGGGGTGAGTTTGTAAATTCACTCTGGCAATCTACTCCAATATTAACACTGGTTTGAGAGTCCAAAACGGCCTACCCTACACCCGGTTGTTATGACAGGTTTCAGTAAACATTGGCAAAAAAGCTAAATTAAATTGCTGTGTTCTCTCAGTTATGTGTGGAAGCAAGCTAGCTAACTTTAGCCAATTAGCTTTGGTGCTTGAATGATGTTGTGAGATCCGAACACTACCCTTCAGCAGGAGTGTCCGGTGTGCGCTCCTAGAGAGAATTAACGAACAAACACCGTCTTAGTGGGCATTACATAAAATCAAAACCCAAGCTTCAAATATAACAAGTAAAGCAGATTATGCAGGTACTCACAATCTCAGACTTTAAGAAAATACTGACTTATCAGTTTTAAGGTTGTTAGTGGATTTCGGGACTATAAATGATGTATATGACTACTACCGATGCCACACGTTTTCAACCGGAAAATTAGTTTTTTCGTGACAGTTTCTCTTTAAGCGTACATTGCCTTCGTAAAGTATTCAGAACCCTTGACTTTTTCCACATTTTGTTACGTTACAGCCTTATTCTAAAATTGATTAAATGATTTTTTTTCCCCTCATCAATCTAATTTAAATGTTTTGCTAATTTATTAAAAATAAAAAAAACTGATATCACATTTACATAAGTATTCAGACCCTTTACTCTGTACTTTGTTAAAGCACCTTTGGCAGCGATTACAGCCTCAAATCTTCTTGGGTATGATGATACAAGCTTGGTACACCTGTATTTGGGGTGTTTCTCCCATTTCTCTCTCCTCTCAAGCTCTGTCAGGTTGAATGGGGAGTGTTGCTGCACAGCTATTTTCAGGTCTCTCCAGAGATGTTCAAGTCCATGCTCTGGCTGGGGCACTCAAGGACATTCAGAGACTTGTCCCGAAGCCACTCCTGTGTTGTCTTGGCTGTGTGCTTAGGGTCGTTGTCCTGTTGGAAGGTGAACCTTCGGCCCAGTCTGAGGTCCTGAGTGCTCCGGAGCAGGTTTTCATCAAGGATCTCTCTGTACTTTGCTCCGTTCATCTTTGCCACAATCCTGACTAGTCTCCCAGTCCCTGCCGCTGAAAAACATCCACACAGCATGATGCTGCCACCACCATGCTTCACCATAGGGATGGTGCCAGGTTTCCTCCAGACGTGACGCTTGGCATTGCGGCCAAATATTTCAATCTTGGTTTCATCAGGCCAGAGAATCTTGTTTCTCATGGTCTAAGAGTTTTTAGGTGCCTTTTGGCAAACTCCAAGCTGGCTGTCATGTGCCTTTTACTGAGGAGTGGCTTCCGTCTGGCCACTCTACCATAAAGGTCTGATTGGTAGAGTGCTGCAGAGATGGTTGTCCTTCTGGAAGGTTCTCCCATCTGCACAGAGGAAGTCTATACCTCTGTCAGAGTGACCATCGGGTTCTTGGTCACCTCCTTGACCAAGGCCCTTCACCCCCGATTGCTCAGTTTAGTAGGGCGGCCAGCTCTAGGAAGAGTCTTGGTGGTTCCAAACTTCTTCAATTTAAGAATGATGGAGGCCACTGTGTTCTTGGGGACTTTCAATGCTGCAGAATTGTTTTGTACCATTCCCCAGAACTTTGCCTTGACACAATTCTGTCTCTGAGCTCTACGGACAATTCCTTCGACCTCATGGCTTGGTTTTTGCTCTGACATGCACTGTCAACTGTGGGACATTATATAGGCTGGTGTGTGCCTTTCCAAATCATGTCCAATCAATTGAATTTACCACAGGTGGACTCCAATCAAGTTGTAGAAAGATCTCAAGGATGATCAATGGAAACAGCATGCACCTGAGCTCAATTTCGAGACTCATAGCAAAGGGTCTGAATGCTTATGTAAATAAGGTATTTGTTTTTTATATTTTATAAAGTTGCAACAATTTCTAAAAACAGGTTTATGCTTTGTCATTATGGGGTATTGTGTGTAGATTGCTGGGTTTTTTATTTATTTAATCAATTTTTTAATAAGGCTGTAACGTAACAAAATATGGAAAAAGTAAAGGGTTCTGAATACTTTCCGAAGTCACTGTATATTTATTTATTTATTTATTTATTTCACCTTTATTTAACCAGGTAAACCAGCTGAGAACAAGTTCTCATTTACAACTGCGACCTGGACAAGATAAAGCAAAGCAGTGCGATAAAAACAACAACACAGAGTTTCATATGGGGTAAAACAAAACAAAGTCAAAAATACAACAGAAATACATATAATATACAGTGTGCAAATTTAGCAAGTTATGGAGGTAAGGCAATAAAATAGGCTATAGTGCAAAAACATATAGACAATGCTTTTTGCCAGATGGCGGGGTGATCAACATTCAATGAGTTTAAGTGAAATCATGATAGGATAAACACAACTACACTGAACAAATATAGAAACACAACATGTAAAGTGTTGGTTCCATGTTTCATGAGATGAAATAAAAGATCACAGGAATGTTCCATGTGTACAAAGAGCTTATTTCCCAAATGTTGTGCACACAAATTTGTTTACATCCCTGTTAGTGAGCATTTCTCCTTTGCCAATATAATCCATCCACCTGACAGGTGTAGAATATCAAGAAGCAGATTAAACAGCATGATCATTACACAGGTGCACCTTGTGCTGGGGAAAATAAAAGGCCACTCTAAAATGTGTCGTTTTGTCACACAACACAATGCCACAGATGTCTCAAGTTTTGAGGGAGCGTGCAATTGGCATTCTGACTGCAGGAATGTCCACCAGAGCCATTGCCAGAGAATTGAATGTTAATTTTTCTACCATAAGCCGCCTCCAATGTCATTTTAGAGAATTTGGTTTACGTCCAACCGGCCTCACAATCGCAGACCACATTTAACCACGCCAGCCCAGGACCTCCACATCCGGCTTCTTCAACTGCGGGATCATCTGAGACCGGCCACCCGGTCAACAGGTTTGCACAACCGAAGAATTCCTGCACAAACTGTCAGAAATCGTCTCAGGGAAGCTCATCTGCGTGCTCGTCATCCTCACCAGGGTCTTGCGCTGACTGCAGTTTGGCGTCGTACCCATCTTCAGTGGGCAAATGCTAACCTTCGATGGCCACTGTCATGCTGGAGAAGTGTGCTCTTCACTGATGAATCTCGGTTTCAAATGTACCGGGCAGATGACAGTTTGCTGATGTCAACATTTTGAACAGAGTGCCCCATGGTGGCAGTGGGGTTATTGTATGGGCAGGCATAAGCTACAGACAACGGATACAATTGCATTTTATCAGTGGCAATTTGAATGCACAGAGATACCATGACGAGATCCTGAGGCCCATTGTTGTGCCATTCATCCGTCGCCATCAGCTCATGTTTCAGCATGATAATGCACGGCCCCATGTCGCAAGGATCTGTACACAATTCCTGGAAACTGAAAGTGTCCCAGTTCTTCCATGGCCTGCATACTCACCAGACATGTCACCCATTGAGAATGTTTGGGATGCTCTGGATCGACGTGTATGACAGAATGTTTCAGTTCCCGACAATATCCAGCAATTTAGCACAGCCATTGAAGAGGAGTGAGACAACATTCATTTACATTTACGTCATTTAGCAGATGCTCTTATCCAGAGCGACTTACAAATTGGTGCATTCATCCTATAGCCAGTTGGTTAACCACTTTTTTATATTTTTTATATTTTTTATATTTTTTTATTAAAAAAAATTTAAGGGGGGGGGGGGGGGGGGGGGGTCCTTCCCCGGGAGGAAGAGCAGCTCCGTCTTGCCAAGGTTCAGCTTGAGGTGGTGATCCGTCATCCATACTGATATGTCTGCCAGACATGCAGAGATGCGATTCGCCACCTGGTTATCAGAAGGGGGAAAGGAGAAGATTAGTTGTGTATCGTCAGCGTAGCAATGATAGGAGAGGCCATGTGAGGATATGACAGAGCCAAGTGACTTGGTGTATAGAGAGAATAGGAGAGGGCCTAGAACTGAGCCCTGGGGGACACCAGTGGTGAGAGCACGTGGTGCGGAGACAGCTTCTCGCCACGCCACTTGGTAGGAGCGACCGGTCAGGTAGGACGCAATCCAGGAGTGAGCCGCGCCGGAGATGCCCAGCTCGGAGAGGGTGGAGAGGAGGATCTGATGGTTCACAGTATCAAAGGTAGCAGACAGGTCTAGAAGGACAAGAGCAGAGGAGAGAGAGTTAGCTTTAGCAGTGCGGAGAGCCTCCGTGACACAGAGAAGAGCAGTCTCAGTTGAATGACCAGTCCTGAAACCTGACTGGTTTGGATCAAGAAGGTTATTCTGAGAGAGATAGCAAGAGTTGGCTAAAGACGGCACGCTCAAAAGTTTTGGAAAGAAAAGAAAGAAGGGATACTGGTCTGTAGTTGTTGACATCAGTGGGATCGAGTGTTGTTTTTTTGAGAAGGGGTGCAACTCTCGCTCTCTTGAAGACGGAAGGGACATAGCCAGCGGTCAAGGATGATTTGATCAGCGAGGTGAGGTAGGGGAGAAGGTCACCGGAGATGGTCTGGAGAAGAGAGGAGGGGATGGGGTCAAGCGGGCAGGTTGTTGGGCGGCCTGCAGTCACAAGTCGCAAGATTTTATCTGGAGAGAGAGGGGAGAAAGAAGTCAAAGCATAGGGTAGGGCAGTGTGAGCAGGACCAGCAGTGTCAATAGACTTAACAAACGAGGATCGGATGTCGTCAACCTTCACCTTTATTTATTTCAGTTGACAGATTTTCGTTATATGAACTGTAACTCATTAAAATCTTTGAAATTGTTGCGTTTTATATTTTTCTTCAGTGTAATTCAGTCATGGAAGTGAAAAGTAACCATTACGAAAGATTGTATGACAGATGAATGACAAACAAGATTCTCTTTTCAGTCTGCTATTTCAATCTCTCTTTCTGTGATCAGATAACTCCTGATGACAGTGTGAAAATCATCACAGATGGAGCCTGTCACAAGCTGGTCATTGATTGCTGTCGAAAAGATCACGCAGGAGTCTATCGCTTTGAGGTGGATGGTCGTATATCAGAGGCTACGCTCACTGTTCAGCGTAAGTGACATAGACTGTTATATCAACCTGTCTGTTTCCAATAGGTGGAAAATGACACTGCCTTGTCATGACCTCTTATGACATTTGTTATGTCTGTTTTATGACGCTGTTATGTTTCTGTCCGATAAAATGTTAAAACTGTCATAGACAAATATGTTTATTCACCTGTTATACATCTGTGTTCATTCTACTTTATCCCCCCCCCACCCCCACGCCAACCCTGTGACAATTGCTGTTATGGATAACAATTCATCACCTAACTTGGTATGTAACATATGAAGTAAAATATTGTTGTTCTGTCATTTATAAGACACAGTAAATATATATTCTATAACTTTCTCATCCATAGTCATTATGATAATGTTGTACAACATTTAAAAAACATCCGTTTGTGCACTGTCTAACTGTAAAAGGAATTTCCAGGTGAACAACAGAGAAGAGCAGATATAGCCCATCATAAATCCATCTGGTCTAATAGAAGTTACAACAGGGAGACACCTCCAGCACAGAAGCAGAGAAAGTGTCTAACTAGCCTTCTCTGAGAAGGCCCTTACATCCTAAATCAGCAGACAGTTGTTCTGTAAACACCAGCCCGAGATGCTTGTTAGGAAGTCCAAACTAAAGGCAGTGAATATATATACACACACAGTATTTGTGCGTCACAATTTTGGCTGTCTTTACTTATTTATAGATCCAGCTGTTCAATTCATTTTGGGAGTGGCTGATGTCCAAGTTAAAATCTGTGAACCAGCAGAGCTGTCCTGCAAACTGAGCAGTCCAAACTGTGAGGGGGTATGGTATAAAGACGGATTTCAGGTGAGTGCAGTATTCTTCAATCCAGGAGACCCACGGGCTGTGAAGGCTTTTGCTCCAGCCCGATGATACTTGATTCAGAACAATAGCTTGATGATTAGTTAATTAATTGAATCAGGTGTATTAATGTTGGACTAGGAAATCCTCCACCTCATGATGGGATCAATAAAACCTTTTACAGTCATCAAAGTGAAAAAGTACCCATTAGCAAATATTCTGTTATAGCTGATTGAGAAACAAGATTCTATTTTCCCCTATTAGATTGAATCTATTCTCTTTCTGTAATCAGGTACTTCCTGATGACAGGGTGAAAATCATCAAAGAAGGAGCCTGTCACAAGCTGGTCATTGATAACTGTAAAAAAGACGATGCAGGAGTCTATTGCTTTGAGGTGGATGGTCGTATATCAGAGGGTTCACTCATTGTGCAGAGTAAGAATGGACAGTTACATTATGTGGATTACATCCAGGGTTATGAAAAGCTTCAGTAAGGCTGTTGTTCCTTTGATTAGAGCACTTTATTTTCTTTCATATTTAAGACCCACCAACATTCAACGTGGATTCCCTGAGAGAATTCTCTAAGCCGGTCATTGTGAGAGCAGGTGAAACGGCTGAGTGGAAATTGGCCTTTTCGGGTGGTGACCCAATGAAGATCACATGGATCAAGGAGGATGAGGAACTCCTGGAAGGCCTCAATGTCAAGATAGAACAGACTGACATAAAAGCTGGCTTGTGTCTTACCGATTGTCAAAGGAAGAACTGTGGAGAGGTCAAAATAAAAATAAAAAATGACTATGGTACATTGGAAGCCACATCCAGACTGATTGTTCTTGGTGAGTTAGGAAGCAGGATATGAAATTAGATTCCTGGCAAGTCTCTGGCAAGTCCGATGCGGAAAGATGTAACAAAATGCCTCAAAGATAATGATCACATACTTTTTGTTGAAGTGTTTTGTGGAATATCACTAACATCTCATTCTGTTGTTAGGCCACGTTTTCATTTTCATAGTTTCTCCCAACAGACAAACCCAGTCCGCCACAAAGACCTGTGGAAATTGTGGAAAGTTCTCTAACCGCCATTGAATTCAAATGGAAACCCCCAAAGGATGATGGTGGCTGTCCAGTCACACGCTACATTTTGGAGCGCCAGCAAGTGGGGGGAAGCAAAACATGGACAAATGTAGGGGAGCTTCCAAATGACCCCCTTAAATACAGGGATACGGATGTAAAGCCAGGGAAAAGATACTGTTACCACATCAGAGCCAAGAATGAGGAGGGAGTCAGTGATATGTTGGAGACAGAGGACATCCAGGCTGGCATATTGTGTAAGTATTGTTAACAATCCATATATTTTTTAGGACAGATCTCTCAATCATTTAAGTTATCAAGAGAGACAGGGATGCCCTTGGTCTACAGTAGTTATTTATTTTCTTTAGCCACAGAACCCTTAGCATCAATAATTACAACTCATGGCTCAATCCAGGGCACAGAGATTGGTGGAGATCAAAATGTGATATCATTGTATGCAGGTTACATTTTACTTTATTTATCTGAACCAGAACATTTTCTGTCAATTATTTTACTATTGTTGGACACATATAATGCTGTATCAGGATTCAAAGTGAATTGTGAATCATGCTTTCTCAAGCTTAGAAGGTAAATTTAAGTGGAAATGGACAAAGACACATATGAAATACCTGTGTGTACTGATGCCATGCAATCTGAAGGAGGCCTATAAACTCAATTACTCTCCTTTAATAGATATGATTTGAATCTGATGTTCACAGATGGAGATCTCTCCCTATATCTGTGTTAGGTAGGGTCAACATAATCAAAATGAATATATTACCAACTTTGATGTATTTATTCCAGGCCCTACCAGTTTCAATTCCATCCAACTAAAATAAATGGCCTGCTTTCCAACTTTATTTGGAATGGAAAGACCTCACTGTTTTCCACTTCCCCTATAAAGCTGGAGGTCTGGGACTACCTCATATGAAGACGTATTACTGGGCTGCACAACTGTGTTCACTTAAACAAATGGACAGCAGACTATCCTTGTGCATGGAGGAGTATCAAAGCCATAAATATTATACCTTATCATCTAAAATATATTTACTACTTCGGGTCCAAGGCATTTAAGAAAAAACAGACAATCCAATGATTCTCAATTCCATTCGTGTTTGGGAAAATGTACATAAATTCATAAAATAGGGAAAAAAACTATATCACCAGGCACCCCTATTTGGAATAACCTCACCTTACCTCCAGTGTTTAATGACAACACATTTAAGTCCTGGTTCCAAAGTGGCATAATTAATTTTGAACATGTGTACTATGACGGATCTCTACTGTCATTCAATCTATTACAAGAAAGATTTGGATTATCCAAGGCCGATTATCCAAAGTTCTTACAACTCAGAAATCATATTCAATCGCTTCAACAGAATCTGGATGAACTTAAGGAATCTAGCATAGACAAAAATACTGAAAGAAGCTGCTACGACAAAGAAGTTGATTGCCAAGTTATATCAAGGTTTGATTGAAACCCTACCTGATGGTTCAGAACCTAAAAGGAACAAATGTGAATCAGATCTTTAGGAAGAAATTGAGGAGAACCATTGGTCACAGATATTTGAAAATGTTCATACCTGCTCCTACAACCTAAGACATAAACTACTGCAATTAAAGATAATCATAGGACTTACTACACTCCTGCCAGAATGCATGTATTGTACCCAGAAATGTCACATCTCTGTTGGAGATGCAAAACGCACAAAGAAACCCTATTACATATGCTGTGGTCCTGTGATAAACTGACACCATTTTGGGATACTGCATGTGCTATCATTTCATTATGTCTAGGAATTTATATCCATCCATCTGCGATTATGTCTGTTGGGAAATGTAAATATTGGTGATCAATATCAGAGAAAGTTGTGTAATCCAGGTCTAATTGCTGCAAAAAAAAATCTATAGAGCGAAATCGCACAGTTATTCGGAAAAAGGCTTTCACACAAGGCAAAATATTACATTCCTCGAAGCGAGCATAAAAGGCATTTTAACTCATTCGTGAGTTCTACATCGCTGGGCAGGTCATGGCTGGGTTTCCGTTTGCAATCCATTATCGTCTGCAAGCCCTGCCACATACAACAAGTATTGTAGCTAGTGTAATGGGATTCCACCTTACTCCTTTATTGTCCTTTTGCATGTTTGATGTCTCATCGGAGGTCGTAGAGGGATTTCTTGTCTGTGTGCAAGTCTGTGTCCCGTTCATTGTAAGTGGTAACTCTACCCAGCACGGATGTTGCCTGTAATCCATGGTTTTTGGTTGGGATATGTTCTTATAGTCACTGTGGGGACTGTTGTGATAAACTCTTTAATGGTATCGGATGAATCCCAGAATATATCCCAGTCTGTACTAGCAAAACCGTCTTGTAACCTTGCGTCTGCTTCGTCCGACCACTTCCGTATTGAGTGCATCACTGGTACTTCCTGTTTGAGCTTTTGTTTGTAAACAGGAAGCAGGAAAATTGAGTCATGGTCAGATTTGCCGAAGGGAGGACCTTATATGAGTTTCTATGGGTAGAATAAAAGTGGTCTAGAGTTTTATCACCCCTAGTGGCGCAGGAGATGTATTGGTAGAAGTGAGGTAGGGCGGTTTTACATCTCCCCGCGTTAAAGTCTCCATCCACCAGAAATTGTGCCTCTGGGTGAGCGGTTTCTTGTTTGTCTATTGCCCCATACAGTTTGTTGAGTGTCAGAGTGGTGTTAGCCTGTGAAGGAATGTAGACAGCCGTGATAATTACGGACGAGAATTCTCTTGGTAGATAAAAGGTTCTGCAGCTTACCATGAGGTATTCTATATCAGGTGAGCAACAGTTTGAGATTTCCTTCACACTTGAAGCAGCACACCAGTTGTTATTTATGAAAATACACACACCGCCTCCTTTCATTTTCCCCGAAGCCGCCGTCCAATCCTGCCGCTGCGTGGGGAATCCACCGAGTACTACGTACATATCGTCATCTTCCAGCCACGTTTCAGTATAATATTGCAGGTTTTCAAGTCTCCATGATAGGAAACTCTTGAACGAAGCCCATCCATCTTATTCTCGAGTGGCTGGACATTTGCCAATAGGACGGAAGGGAGCACCGTTCGGTTTACTCTTCGCCTCAATTTCACCAGGACTCCACCTCGTCTCCCGCGTTGAAGTCGTATTTGAAGTCAAAATCAAAGTTAGTAACTGTCGATCTGATGTCCAGAAGTGCTTGGTGGTCACGTGATAATAGTATGAACTTTCTGTTAATAAAATAAATTAAATAGAGAAACACGATAAAAGTCACTAAATAGCAAAGTTGGGTTGGAACTCATAAGATGTTGCCCTTCTCCATCGCCGCCATCTCGATACCATACCCCGTTCAAAGGCACTTCAATCTTTTGTCTTGCCCATTCACCCTCTGACACAATCCATGTGTCAATTGTGTCAAGGCTTACAAATCCTTCTTTAACCTATCTCATTCCCTTCATCTACACTGACTGAAGTAGATTTAACAAGTGACATCAATAAAGGATCATAGTTTTCACCTGGATTCACCTGGTCAGTCTATGTCATGGAAAGAGCAGGTGTTCCTAATGAAAATTCAAGTGTCATTTCTAGGAAGAATTCTCCACTGTGATTAGATTTGGCACTATATGCATGGCAATGGACAGTAGAATAACAAGTTGTTCTCTCAGGTTACCCAGGACCCCCTTCTGCACCCAAAGTAGTCAGTGCCTTCAAGGACTGCATCAACCTGGCTTGGTCTCCCCCCGTCAACACTGGAGGAACTGAAATTTGGGGTTACAACGTTGAGAGACGCAAGAAGGGAAGCAACTTTTGGAGCCCTGTGAACCTAGACGGGCCTATCAAAGGTGTGGCCTCCTCATAGGCACAATGACATATATCTGCAAATGTGTTCATTTACCTCAAAGTGTACAACAAGAACCTTTCTTTAAAAAAAAAATTACCTTGCGACCGAGACTCATCACACTTTAGTTTTAAGTGCAAAACTTTGTAAGTATGCTCTGGCATAATGATCCTCTGAACTGTTTTTATTTTCTCTCAGACACAACTTTTGCAGTGAAAGATGTTATTGAGGGAGCAGCTTATGAATTTCGAGTGTCAGCTATGAACATCTCTGGTGTCGGCGAGCCCAGTCCTCCCTCTGTTATAGTCATTGCCAGAGATCCCAAGAGTAAGTCATGGTCATCAAAACCATTTATGTTTTTGAACTATTAGTTCCACCGATAGCCTGGCGGAACCAGCCTGATCATGAGTTCACCCTGAATAGAATAGTGAACGCAACGATCAGGCTGGTTCCAACGTATGTTTATATCCCACCAATATACCATGTCAACTCAAATAATAACTACTGTATCACGTTGCTGTAATTCCAGAACCCCCTGGTAAGGTCATAGACCTAAAGCTAACAGACTCCAGTTACGTCACGTTTTCTCTGGCTTGGACTAAGCCAAAAGAGGTGGAAGGGGTGGAGGATGAGGCCAAAGGCTACTTTGTAGAGATCAGACCAAATGAGAGCCCAGAGTGGGCTCGCTGTAACATCAACCCGATCATTCCCACCTCCTTCAATGTGATTGGCCTGAAGGCAATGGGAATGTACTGGGTGAGAGTGATCGCTACAAATGATGGAGGCGAGGGCGAGCCCCAAGGCTTTGATAATTACATCATTGCCATGCCTCCTCCTGGTAAGGAATAGCAACTAATTTAAATCACTAGTGTGATGTTCAACAGTGAATATCGTATATGCATCGATTGTATCCCTGAAATGTAATTTGATAATCAATAAAAAATGTAATCTGACCGATACTTGAATTTTCTTTACCCTGCAAGTGAGGCCACGATTTACAGGAAAAACAAAGAGCTTCATGGTTGTGAGAAAGGGGAATACTATACGTTTCAACATCAACTTTGAGGTAAAGTGACGCAAATGCAGCTTTCGGCCAACAAAATAGACTGTAAAAAGATGAAAACTTTCATTGTATTGACTACTGCAGTATCCTGCTTGTGTCACCAAGTTTTCTGTGTTTACATGGTTTCACATTGTCCACAGGCCTCTCCTTTGCCAGATATCTATTGGTTGAAGGACAGTGTCCCTGTGTCCAAACGTGTCACCATCACCAACTCTGACAGAGGTTCACAGCTTCTGATCCCCACATCAGAGCGCTCTGATACGGGCATCTTTACCATCATTGTCAAGAACATGGTCGGTCAGGAGACCTTTAGTGTCGAGATCAGAGTCACAGGTAAATGTTAATCACTATGCCTATGAGTTTTTTAAAATAATTTCAACAATAATTTTATGGCATCGGTAGATGAGAAATAGAATCGTAAGTGAAGTGTTTAATGCCAGTATTAATGCAGTTACTGGAGGTAAGTTCGGCTTTCAATCAGATGACCATGTCTTTCTGACCTGGTTCCAGATGATCCCAAGCCTCCCGGCCCAGTGGAGTTGGAACAGAATGTTCCTGGAACAGTGACTGTGACCTGGACTCCCTCCCCAGATGAGAAGAAGGATGACAGGCTGCACTACATTGTGTCCAAACGTGACTCTGTCAAGCGCACCTGGAGGATGGTCGCTGACCGCCTCTTCAACCATAAGTTCACAGTTATCAACATTCTACCCGGCAGAGAGTATAACTTCAGGGTGTTTGCTAAGAATGACATGGGCCTCTCAGAGCCTGCTGTGTCCCCTACATGGGGAACCACAAGGAGAAAAGGTTTGTGGCGACAGCAATTAGCCTCACATTTGTTGAATGAAAGATCATTGAACCGTAAACATTTTTGCACAGAACACATCACAGAGAATACTGAACGTTTGAAATGTTGCCTGTATACAAAACATTATTAGTTGCGAGCTAATCTTTCTCTCTTTTCTCCTGTAACTCAGATAAGTTCATACTGGACATGCCAGACATAAAGGGCTTGGACCTCCAGTGTCCACCATCGTTTTTACTCCCATTGAAAATCCGCACCGCTCCACCAGGCTACGAGTGTTACATGAGCTGTGCTGTAAGAGGGGATCCAAAACCTCATATCACATGGTACCACAACAATGTCAGCCTCAACACCAACACCAACTACCTTATCACCAACGTGTGTGGGGTCTGCACATTGCTCATATTGAAGATCGGACCCAAAGACAGTGGCGAGTACAGTGTCATGGCAGACAGTCCCTTGGGCAGGGCAGCGTGTTCCACCAAGCTCACAGTCAGAGGTAGCATCTCACAGTCACATCATAATAAAATGCATTTTTTCATTACAGGAACAATCTGTAATTATTTTTAAACAGCAGGTCTGAGGTATATAATATATAATAATATAATATGCAATTTAGCAGACGCTTTTATCCAAAGCGACTTACAGTCATGCGTGCATACATTTTTTGTGTATGGGTGGTCCCGGGGATCGAACCCACTACCTTGGCGTTACAAGCGCCGTGCTCTACCAGCTGAGCTGAGGTGGAGGGTCTTTGTAACTATATTGTGAATTAATTGGCTCATAGACAAAGTTGTTTTTTTAATGCTTGTTTTCATTTTGATTGTTTAGTGAATTTTGGACATAATGAAGTAACATATCTTGACCTTTGAGGGGGTCTTTGATCTAAGTACCTCAGTTCTACAGTGCCTTCGGAAAGTATTCAGACCCCTAGACTTTTTCCACATTTTGTTACGTTACAGGCTTATTCTAAAATTGATTATAATATTCCCCCCCCCCCATCAATCTTCACACAATACCACATAATGAAAAAGCAAAAATAGGTTTTTAGAAATGTTTGCAAATGTATTACAAATAAAAAACTGAAAGATCACATTTTTAATAAGTATTCAGACCCTTTACTCAGTACTTTGTTGAAGCATCTTTGGCAGTGATTACAGCATCGAGTCTTCTTGGGTATGACGCTACAAGCTTGGCACACCTGTATTTGGGGAGTTTCTCCCATTCTTCTCTGCAGATCCTCTCAAGCTCTGTCAGGTTGGATGGGGAGCGTCGCTGCACAGCTATTTTCAGGTCTCTCCAGAGATGTTTGATCGGGTTCAAGTCCGGGCTCTGGCTGGTTCACTCAAGGACATTCAGAGACTTGTCCCGAAGCCACTCCTGCATTGTCTTGGCTGTGTGATTAGTGTTGTTGTCGTGTTGGAAGGTGAACCGTCGCCCCAGTCCTGAGTGATCTGGAGCAGGTTTTCTTCAAGGATCTCTCTGTACTTTGCTACATTCATCTTTGCTTCGATCCTGACTAGTCTCCCAGTCCCTGTCGCTGAGAAACATCCCCACAGCTTGATGCTGCCACCACCATGCTTCACCGTAGGGATGGTGCCAGGTTTCCTCCAGACGTGACGTTTGGCATTCAGGCCAGAGAATCTTGTTTCTCATGTTCTGAGAGTCTTTAGGTGCCTTTTGGCAAACTCCAAGCGGGCTGTCATGTGCCTTTTACTAAGGAGTGGCTTCCGTCTGGCCACTCTACCATAAAGGCCTGATTGGTGTAGTGCTGCAGAGATGGTTGTCCTTCTGGAAGTTTCTCCCATCTCCATAGAGGAACTCTAGAGCTCTGTCAGAGTGACCATCTGGCCCTTCTACCGCGATTGCTCAGTTTGGCCGGGCGGTCAGCTCTAGGGAGAGTCTTGGTGGTTCCAAACTTCTTCCATTTAAGAATGATGGAGGCCACTGTATTCTTGGGGACCTTCAATGCTGCAGAATTTTTTGGTACCCTTCCACAGATCTGTGCCTCGACACAATGCTGTCTCGGAGTTCTACGGACAATCCCTTCGACCTCATGGATTGGCTTCTTGCTCTGACATGCACTGTCAACTGTGGGACCTTATATAGACAGGTGTGTGCCTTTCCAAATCATGTCCAATTAATTGAATGTACCACAGGTGGACTCCAATCAAAGTTGTAGAAACATCTCAAGGATGATCAATGGAAACAGGATGCACCTGAGCTCAATTTCGAGTCTCATAGCAAAGGGTCTGAACACTTATGTAAATAAGGTATTTTTGCTAAAATTTCTAAAAAACTGTTTTCGCTTCGTCATTATCTGTTCGTATTGTGTGTAGACCACGTTAGGAAGAGGGTGGAAAAAGTAGATCCTATGTAATTAAAGTCTGGGCACCCCTGCTGTAACGCAACAAAATGTGGAATAAGTCAAGGGGTCTGAATACTTTCCGAAGGCACTGTATATCATGGTAGTGATACTGTGTGATACTTTCACGTTCTGTGTAGTAGTATATTAATACTGTACCATTGGTTTGTTTTCCAGAGTGAAGAGTTCAGCCAGATGATTGATTGGCAGCTGCTGGCAACAGAAACTTATGTATTGACTTATCATATATTCTTCAAATAGGCTAGGTGTTGCATGTGTGGAGGCCCATATGGCCCTTTTCTTTAGTCAAAATGTTACACACTATTGGTTTTCTATGTGCTTACATGCAATGTGTCCTTCTATTTATTCCAGTTGTTAAAATATTGCAAAGCATTAAATGCACATGACAAGACAAACACATATCACTAACTTTTGTGAAAGCACCTATATAAATAAGTAAAGTGAAGAGACAAATCTACATAGGCGACATATGTTGCATTTGGAAATTAGTTTAGCCTATTCATTGCATGAATATGGGGATTCCATATAATATTGGTAAATAAGAGTGATATGTGTAATTGTGTATTTCATTTCACTAAACAGATGTATCAATGTGTTCATATTTGAATCAAATGATATTTAAGTAAGTTACATTTGTCATTTAGCAGATCCTCTTACCCAGAGTGACTTACAGGATAAATGAAGGTAAACTGCCTTGCTCAAGGGCACCTCAACAGTTTCTTCACCTAGTCAGCTCGGGGATTCAAACCAGTGACCTTTTGCTTACTGGCCCAACACTCCTAACTGCTAGGCTACCTGCCGCCTTTTAGGCCCCTTTTCAGTATACGACACACTGACGTGCGCAAATCTTGGAGGCAGTAAGAAAGCTATCGCCATCTGCGCCCAATCAACATAGCCTAGATTTAAGTTTTTATTACTTTTAAACAAAATTACTTTTTGGGTTCTGTTAATTACGTTTTGATTATTTCTTGAACAGTCACTAAGATTATATTTGGTTGTGATCTTTGCAAAATAACTATTTTGGATTCAGCAGTTGTTAACTAGAATGCTAACGCTCATTGACAAAGGCTGTAGAAAAAGCTAGCCAAAGAGATATTTTACTGGTTGAAGTTGAAGTGTTTTTTTAAGTATAATGCAGTTGATTTGCAATGATGACGCAAACATTATATTAAGCAAGACATTCATATGAGCCTTAAAATCCTATTATTATCCAAAAGTAGTGTGAAATGCACTCATAAGCAGCATGTAAATGGAGGCTTTTTTTTGCTGGCGTTCTGAGAACTCTGCCGTGTTCTGCCACCAACTTGCGCGCATCGCCCTCGTGTGGCAATGTTTGTAAACACAGAAAGGGGTCTATAAATGTAAGGCTTATTGTCACATGCACATCCACCACCATTCACCCACCAGTGTCGGTTAACTACCAGACAGATGTTGTGCCAATGCGCCAGAATCTTGCCAGCTGCGCGAATTGAACCTTTGCAATCGGTTTATCATAATACAATATAGCACAATATAATACATTTACATAACCCCATCGCTACTGACATGGTGTCTTCCAATACGCCCATTCACATGAATGCGCAATTCGGAACAGGCACTACAAAGCCAGCCCGATTGCCGTAGCTCTGTCCTTACTCCAGCACACCCGGAAGCTACAGAGGCAGAGAGCAGAACAGAAACAAACAAACAGAGCGCTCATCCAAAACATTGATAAGCACAATAAACGTCACTTAAATTAAACATGAAAGCTTGTCTATGTATTCCTTATACCATACCAAACTTTTACTGAAGGGAGGTAAGAATAATGTGTGTAATGTATGAACTGAGATCACTAAATTAACAGTGGCAACCCGTCATTCAGGGCAGGTGCACCTGTTTTGAGACCCAATTGTTTAGGCTAAATCTATCTTGGCCTGTTTTGCATGTTTTTTTGGCATGAATACGTGTCACATATCAGTTTGCAAACAATGTAAAAAAAGTAATATTAATTGAGTTAATAAAGCCCCATACAAACATGGTCTATTTTTTGCTTTCTTGAGTAAGGCAGCTCCAAAATGCAGGTGATTCAGCCTAGCTCAGTGCTTTCTGTGGTGGTCGGGCAGAAAATACGTAGTGTAGGGGTTGGTAATGTTCTCCAGTTGAGCCGTGATTGGCTCAGTGTTCTGTCACTCATGGGGACACTACGTCACCGCAAAATCTACGGGGATAAGTTGAAGATTCAAGCCCCTTGGGTGCTGTCATGGAGTTACATCCAAGACGGCTCAAGGTCATTGGCCACAGATAAAATGACGTCAAATCACGTTATATCTACCGTAGGTTTGATTGGACTGATCATGTCAACATCATACTTTCAATATCTTAGCTAGAAAGCTAGCAGTCATCATGAATCAAGTCGACAATCTACTGTTGTCATTGGAAGAGAAATTATAGATAAAACGTATCGGTGCTCAAAAGGCCATTGGACATAAATATTACACAACAAGTTGGAAATCGCAAATTCAACAATGAGTGGTTTGTATGGAATCGGTGGCTAACTGCAAGCATTGCAAAGCAATCACTAGCCTGCCAATCAGTGGAGTGGGTGTGTGTGGTCCAAGTCTGGGTTTAAGGGTCTCTTTTCCAAGCTTAAAAGGAGAAACATTCAACATTGGCCATGCTGCCAGCATAATTTCTGCCACATTCAAAACAACTGGAAACTCGGAACTGGGAAATCTCAGACTTCAGTGAGTTCAAGACAACTGGGAACTTGTAAAAAAATGAGCACTGATTGGGAAAATACGTTTTCAATGGTCATCTAAGTCAGGAACTCGGGCCTCTTTCTAGAGCTCCGACCTGAAGATCACTGACGTCATGATTCAACCTTGTTTTTTTTTCGAGTTCCCAGTTGTCTTGAAAGCGCCATAAATCCAGAGTATGACAGACTTTGATAACCAACCTCTCTCCGAATCTAAAAAGCATTGAACTTAATACAAATGTACAGAAGTATGCCAAGTGAGGGAGACAACTGAGAGGGGTGGAGAATGGTACAGTATGGAGTGAGCTACAGTGAGGGAAAAAAGTATTTGATCCCCTGCTGATTTTGTACGTTTGCCCACTGACAAAGACATGATCAGTCTATAATTTTAAGGGTAGGTTTGTTTGAACAGTGAGAGACAGATTAACAACAAAATAATCCAGAAAAAATGCATATCAAAAATTTTATAAATTGATTTGCATTTTAATGAGGGAAATAAGTATTTGACCCCTCTGCAAAACATGACTTAGTACTTGGTGGCAAAACCCTTGTTGGCAATCACAGAGGTCAGACGTTTCTTGTAGTTGCCCACAAGGTTTGCACACATCTCAGGAGGGATTTTGTCCCACTCCTCTTTGCAGATCTTCTACAAGTCATTAAGGTTTCGAGCCTGACGTTTGGCAACTCAAACCTTCAGCTCCCTCCACAGATTTTCTATGGGATTAAGGTCTGGAGACTGGCTAGGCCACTTCAGGACCTTAATGTGCTTCTTCTTGAGCCACTCCTTTGTTGCCTTGGCCGTGTGTTTTGGGTCATTGTCATGCTGGAATACCCATCCATGACCCACTTCAATGGCCTGGCTGAGGGAAGGAGGTTCTCACCCAAGATTTGACGGTACATGGCCCCGTCCATTGTCCCTTTGATGCGGTGAAGTTGTCCTGTCCCCGTAGAAGAAAAACACCCCCAAAGCATAATGTTTCCACCTCCATGTTTGACAGTGGGGATGGTGTTCTTGGGGTCATAAGCAGCATTCCTTCTCCTCCAAACACGGCGAGTTGAGTTGATGGCGTAGAGCTTGATTTTGGTCTCATCTGACCACAACACTTTCACCCAGTTCTCCTCTGAATCATTCAGATGTTCATTGGCAAACTTCAGACGGGCCTGTATATGTGCTTTCTTGAGCAGGGGGACATTGCGGGCGCTGCAGGATTTCAGTTCTTTACGGCGTAGTGTGTTACCAATAGTTTTCTTGGTGACTATGGTCCCAGCTGCCTTGAGATCATTGACAAGATCTTCCTGTGTAGTTCTGGGCTGATTCCTCATTATCATTGCAACTCCACGATGTGAGATCTTGCATGGAGCCCCAGGCCGAGGGACATTGACAGGTATTTTGTGTTTCTTCCATTTGCGAATAATCGCGCCAACTGTTGTCACCTTCTCACCAAGCTGCTTGGCGATGGTCTTGTAGCCCATTCCAGCCTTGTGTAGGTCTACAATCTTGTCCCTGACATCCTTGTAGAGCTCTTTGGTCTTGGCCATGATGGAGAGTTTGGAATCTGATTGATTGATTGCTTCTGTGGACAGGTGTCTTTTATACAGGTAACAAGCAGAGATTAGGAGCACTCCCTTTAAGAGTGTGCTCCTAATCTCAGCTCGTTACCTGTATAAAAGACACCTGGGAGCCAGAAATCTTTCTGATTGAGAGGGGGTCAAATACTTATTTCCCTCATTAAAATGCAAATCAATTTATAACATTTTTGACATGCGTTTTTCTTGATTTTTTTGTTGTTATTCTGTCTCTCACTGTTCAAATAAACCTACCATTAAAATTATAGACTGACCATGTCTTTGTCAGTGGGCAAACGTCCAAAAACAGCAGGGGATCAAATACTTTTTTCCCTCACTGTATGTGACAGCTGGTGGAGGGGGAGATGGGGAAGATGTGTTCTTCTGACGCTGAGGGTAGACACATCTTCCCTGTCTCTCCTTCCAGCAGCTCGGGAAATATACACTTACCCTGTCAACACCAGGTAGAATTGGAATTGTTCCTAGAATTGTTATTACAGTTTTTCCCAATGAACACACGTTTGCTTAAACTACATCCCAGGTACTCAAAACTCTACATTTACATTTTGCATTTAAGTCATTTAGCAGACGTTCTTATCCAGAGCGACTTACAGGAGCAATTAGGGTTAAGTGCCTTGCTCAAGAGCACATCGACAGATTTTTCACTTAGTCGGCTCGGGGATTAAAACCAGCGACCTTTCGGTTACTGGCAAAACGCTCTTAACCACTAAGCTACCTGCCGCCTAACTTGTACTACTTTACTGTATGTTAGATCAATTACGGAATAGATCAATCAACTGTCAAAATACAGTAAAATCATAACTCAAGAAACAAATACTCCATTGCGAAAACATAATCAGTCATGTCTGTTGTTTTGGTCCGGCCACAGATTTTCATCAACATCACAGGCGATATTCTCCTTGGCCAGACAGTTGGGGATATATCTTCTGGCATGTCGCATCCACCCTTGACAGGACTCTGCTGGAATGTCACCACAGGCCTCCTCCATTGCCTGGAGAAGGGCCACACGTTCATGGGGTTTGCGATCATACAACTTCCATTGCCATGCCTGAAACTCCTCAATGGGTTGAGAAATGGGGAATATGGTGGGAGGTAGAGAACTGTAAACCTGGGATGGTCATGGAACCCGTTGCGGACCTGAGCAGCCTGATGGAAACTCACATTGTCCCAAATTAGAACATACATTTGCTGCTCAGGATCACCTGGCCCTCTCTGCTCTGGCTGAAAAAGGTTGTCATGTAAGGTGTTCAGGAAATGAAGGAGATGGGCAGTGTTGTATGGTCCAAGGGTGGCATGGCGGTGGAGGACCCCATTGTGCCTCATAGCTGCGCATATGGTGACATTTCCCCCGTACCTCAATGACGGCGCGTTGACCAATGACGTTCCTTCCTCTCTTCCTCGTCTTCACTAAATTGAATCCAGCCTCCTCTATGGATATCATTTCCTGGGGGGTGGGACTTACATCCAACTCCATGATTCTCTGAAATGACAGTAAATACCTTAATTGCTGTATAGTAAAGTTCAGTGGCAACATCAATGAGTCTCTGTTTCAAGAGTATAATACTAGTACATTACTCACTTGCACATATTCGTATTTTTTTTTTCTTTCACTCTTTGGGAATTCCTTTCAAGTGGAACTGTAGATTTGCTTCATCCGGAGATTATGTTTCTTATGGATGCGGGCTATGGTTGATAAGCTCACTCTGATGTTATGGAAGAATTGCAGGGTTTTCAATAATCTGCTGTTGGATTTCCCGCAGTCTTATGGCATTATTTTCAACTACTATTTGCACAATGGCAGCCTCATGTTCGTCTGTAAATAGGCGCGTTCTACCACCACGTGGTGGTCGTCTTTCAGTTCTACAAAAACCAAATAGCATACAGTACAGTAAACATTACAGTATTACAGTATACAAGATAAACATGTTACTAAGTAGTATCGCTCCCAATTTCATACATACAGTAATACATGAAACGTTGACTTTGTTTCCCCTTACAGTATGTATTGGAATCTACAGTCTTTACTGTGCTTTATGTAGTACTACTGTCAAGTAGTAAAAGTAGTATATAGGTCCAATGTCTGCAGTACATACTGTACGTATTCTCATTTTGGAACATCCGGATGATGGATGCTACGGTGAAGCTGCTCAGATTGGGCTGCACTCTCTGCCCAGCCTCTCTCAAGGTCAAACCATGGTTGAACACATGGTCCACCACAGTCGCCCGAATTTCATCAGAGCTTACTCTCCTTGTTCTTGGTCTTCCTCCACCTCCAGCTCTAACTTTACCCCTCCCACTACCCCCTCCTTTACCTCTACCTTTACCTCCACCTCCACCCCCACCTCCACCCCCACCGCTACCTTTACCTCCACCTCCACCCCCACCGCTACCTTTACCTCCACCTCTACCCCAACCTCTACCTCTCTCTGCCAAGTTTGCTTCCATTGTTCTCCAAACACAGGAGTACTCACCTGTGGCCTTTTTATCCAAACCAAAGGTCCGATTGCAAAGTGAACATTTACGCAATTAGTGTTTGCACATAGTGAAAGTGATGAATTGCTAATTGAGCTTAGCTTGTTGAACAGTGTTGCTTTTGATTTGCACACAATATATTTTAGTTGTGAAGGTTGTGCCAAAGGTAGAGAATGGTGTGTTGTGTTTTGCCAAATATTTGTTATAGAGTTACAATCTGAGTGTAAAGCAAAACAAGTGCCAGTAGTATTGCAGATTTGGTGTCTGGTTCTGCTAAATGAGTTACAGGTTTGGGTCAGATTTGGTGTATGGTTCTGCTAAATGAGTTACAGATTTGGGTCAGATTTGGTGTATGGTTCTGCTAAATGAGTTACAGGTTTGGGTCAGATTTGGTGTATGGTTCTGCTAAATGAGTTACAGATTTGGGTCATTATGCCTCATGAGACAGTTTTAGTGTGTAAACAATTGGGAAAAACTGTAATAATGAATTGTTATTAGTTTAACTGATGGTGTGCTCTGTTAGAATGTGGAAATAGAATGTTCAGAATAACAGACACAGTTCAAAGTCAATGGATTAGAATTTAGAATTCTCTTCTATAATGTTTGGCTTTGAAGCCCACTGGTGTCTCCCCGCTCCTACTTACACTGGGCACACAAATAGTTTATACAATAGAACAGTGCAAAAATCTGAAATGAAATACAGAAAACAATGAATCCCATCAACACCAGTGGGCTTCCCATGGGAAGGGGAATCTGTAATTAAATGGATAGTTCACCCAAATGTCCTTACCCTGTAAGCTGTCTATGGACAAGGTATGACAGCAGTCCATGCTTTGTTTTTGTTTACCTGGCCAATGTCTTCAAATGCTCACGTTTTAGCAGTTGTGGCACAAATCCAATTCAAGTCCATGGTACTTATTTTAGAATTTTTCATGTTCCCTGTTGCAACTTGTAATAAACCAGATTTTTTGATTGACTTTATCTGCAACTGTTCTTCTCTTTTTATGTTCTCTTTCGTTTAAATACAGCATTTAATAGCAGAGTATCAATGCAATTTGGGGAGTATTTCTGGTTTAATGTAGCCCCATTTAAGGTCTGTGTGGCAGCCTGCATCTATTCCACCTCTGGACCTGGGTCCTAGGCAGGAACTCAGTCGTACGTTTGTGCATGACCTTTTTAATCTGATGGTGATGCAGTATGTATGCCAGTTTTGGGCTAGACCCTGGCGTATACTGGGCCAGAAAACACAAAGTATGTGGCCCACAGCTGCGCTGGAATAATTTCGCTATCTGGATTGGAGGGGGGCTCAGGAAACATTTTAAATTGTGATCGACAGCAGTGAGCCTGTTAAAAAATAATGGCTATATCTCTATTTTTGAAATAGATGTATGTTCTATGTTCACATGTGCAAGAAAATAATTTACATATTTCTTACATATATTTTCTAAAGGCCTAAATATGTTCAACTGTCAAAATATGCCCATAGGCCTACCTGAGTTTTCTGTAGGTGTCATAAACAAAGTGTTCAAATGCGTACATTGTCTATATAATATAAAATCAAACTGTTTGCAAAAAACAGGCGAATAACACATGACTGTCGCCTATAAACATTGTATGCAAGTTACATTCGATTACAAAACACATTGAGCCCTAGGATACTACAGCAAAACCCGACCCCAACGACGAACCGGGGGACGCCACGCCCCCTGATACTAACATTAGAACACTTGCCTGACTTCAGTCGAGGTCCAATGAATGAACGGGGTGTTGTATGTAGAGAGAGCACAGTAGCCTAACCTAATAAATCGAAGCACCACTTTATCTCGAGCAAGACTGAGTGTCATCATTCTCACTGTCTCACCGTCTCCTGTGTACGTGCGTATATCTCCAGGGAACAAAGTTTTCCAAAATGACTAAGCGCAAATCAAAGACTGCCGCCAACTTAAAGCCGGAGCACGAGGACAACTCTTTCTTAATAGAATCCCATCCAGTGTCCAAGTCGCGAGGAAGAGTAAATCAAGTTGCGCTGCCATGCATGTTGTTCCTTATTGTCGGGATTGGAGGGGCCGCCTGGGGCTGGTTTTGCCTGCAACAGCAACAATCCATTGATCAGCTATCAGAAACGTTTAGGGCCATGCAAATAAGAATCACCAAGTTCCAGCAGCAGATGGGGTTGAGAGATGCACAGGTAATGGACTGATCTGATTCTGAAATTGTCACATGATCATGAGTAGGCTATATACTTGGTATTTGCAATAATGTCAATCAAATTAGTCAGCTGAGAAGGAGAAGGGCTTTGGAGCTGTTATTAAAGCATTGACGGTAAGGGAAGGAAAATATTGTTATTATCAATACTTCCCTTCACAGAATATACACTGAACAAAAATATAAACTCAACATGTAAAGTGTTGGTGGTCCCATGTTTCATGAGCTGAAATAAAAGATCCCAGAAATGTTCCATATGCACAAAAAGCTTATTTTTCTCAAATGTTGTGCACAAATCTGTTTACATCCCTGTTAGTGAACATTTCTGCTTTGCCAAGGTAATCCATCCACCTGACAGGTGTGGCATATCAAGAAGCTGACTAAACAGCATGATCATTACACAGGTGCACTTTGTGCTGGGGACAATAAAAGGCCACTCTAAAATATGCAGTTTTGTCACACAACACAATGTCACAGATCTCTCAAGTTTTGAGGGAGCGTGCAATTGGCATGCTGACTGCAGGAATGTCCACCAAAGCTGTTGCCAGATAATTGAATGTTCATTTCTCTACCACAAGCCACCTCCAACGTCGTTTTTGAGAATTTGGCAGCACGTCCAACCGGCCTCACAACCACAGACCACGAGTATGGTGTCGTGTGGGAGAGCGGTTTGCTGATGTCAGCGTTGTGAACAGAGTGCCCCATGGGGGCGGTGGGGTTATGGTATGGGCAGGCATAAGCTACGGACAACGAACACAATTGCATTT